AAATTGGGAAATAAAATAAGTAAATAAATAAAATTCTACCTGGACATATACATATTTTTAATAATAAAATCAGAAAAACAGAAATAAAAGGAGTTCAGAGAAGGAGTTCAGTCAACAGAAGGAATCTCTTGGCAGACAGAAAATTCACAATCAAAAGATTCCTCTGTGCTTGATCAACTTTATATAATAGTTATATATAGAAAAAATATTATTTGGACAAGGATCCACAAGTCTAGCCACATTTTGTTTCAGATGAGTGTCCTGAATACAATAGTATCTTCTATTTTCATATGGTTCTCTGTGGTTTGTCCAGACTTTCCATGCTGGGTGGATAAAGCCCTTCCTTAACCCCTCAGTGTTGACCTCCCCCACAACAGTAGAGGAGCAAGTTGATGGACAAGTAACTCCAACCCAGTCTTGGTCCAGGTTGCCCTCAACACTGGCAGCAAGGCAAGCAGCCACTTAGAGCTGTTCTTCACTGCCAGGTTAACACGTTGCAACAGCTTGTGATTCATACGTTTTCACCTGTTCTAATTGTGATATGTATGGATTGCTGAAGAGTCCACAGTAATTACATTAATTGTGGATACTATTTTCTTGAACACTCATTGAAATAATTCCTAAACTACTTATTCTGCAGGATAGTAAACACTGCCTCTGAGACAAGCCAGCTAGTGTTTAGTTGTGCAGCTTTTGTTTTCCACTCAGAAACATCTTGCTTTCCCTCCCAATCTAGCCTAATCTTTCATGATTAAAAATGGCACCAGTTCCCAGTTCTTAAGGCTTCCTAGCATGGAAGGACACAAAGGCAGAAGTCAAATGCCTTCCGGTTTCCAATCATTCCAGTACAGATCCTGCAATGGGATTGGGAAATGCAAACACTTAGGACAAACTTGGTAAGATATAATTTAATTTGTAAGTGAAGTCTGATGTCTACATACACTGAAAATAAAGAGAATTGTTAATGGCTAAAGACACTGTAGAAGGCAAAAATCACATTTTGTTAGAAGTACATGAGCACCCTATATCTCCCAATCTATGCTGCTACAAGACAGCTCACTCAAGCATATTTCAAAGCCTGTTACTGATAATCCAGGAGTATCAGTACTAGAGCACTCCACATTCAGCAAAAAGTTGGGGTGGAAAAAAAAAAAAAAGGTGTGGATAGGATAGGATAAGGTAGGCAAGGCACTTTGGCATTTGGCAACATTTCAATTTGTGTTTTTCACTAAACAAATTATTGTAGACTCCATTTGTGTTAATAAAGTTCAAGTTTATGTCTTTCACACTAACCCAACAGCAGTCATTCTGTTTTGAAATACACTGAGTACACCAGTGAACTCAAGCAGACAAAAAACCCAATAGAATTCAGGACCATTTGCAGCTTTTTATCTTAAGTAGGGAGAGAGATTTATTTAACAGAAAAATCCTCCACATGGTTTTCAAACTTGTGGCATTTGTTAGGAAATAGATACAGAAACCGAGAAACGCTAAGGAAGCTCCTCTAACCATGAGTCACCAGTTTATGTGCTGTACTTTGTACAGCAAGCAATGCTCTCAGAGAGAGATGTTAGAGACTATTAAATATAGATGGTAATGATGTGAAAATCATGTGGTCATATCTAACTTCAACAAGGATCAGTTAAAAATCCTCTAGAGAAAAAGGACTGGGTGTTTCTTCATCAGATAAATTTGGTAGAGCAACGTTTTTTCTGAAAAGTCCTGTTTAGCACAGCGCATGAGGAACAGCAAGGACTTACTTCCAGTCCATAAAATCAGAAAAGAGCACTAGATTTTGGGGGCATCTTTATTGTGTTATACTGAAACACATCACATGAGGTTTCATAATTACTTCACATGCCTTTCTATAAAAGAAGGGTAATAGAAGTGTCAGCAGCAGATATTAAATACTGTTTCTAAACATGTGAACTAGAGAAGAGTTTGTGCAACTTAAATTTTCCAGTGTACCTTTGAAACATCCACCTTGTGGCTCCATGATGAACATTCCTGTCTGAAGGCAAACTAGCCTCAAGAATGCAGCTACTGTTGAGCTGCATAGATTTTCTGTATGTAACACCTTTTAACAGTGTCCAAAGGAAGGAATACTTATTTTAGCCAAGAGGCTAAAACACAACTTATTTTAGCCAAGATACTAAACCATTTTACCTCCTCAGACATAAGGCTCTTAATTCTCGTGTAGTCATGACAGCACTTAAGCTAAGATAGTTTATACACTTGACAGGCATTTTTTCAGAGTAGAGGTTGTTGCTCAATTTTCTGTATTTGACTTTACCAAGAGGGCTACATGGACACCATCTTGCAGTATAGAGCCAAAGAAGTTATAGGTTGTCATGGAAACAATTCATCAGTAGGTAGGTTCATGCAAAATTCAAAAGGGCTTTTTCCCCCTTTTTGTTTTTGAAGAACAGTCCGAGAAATCCAAGTGATGTCTTTCTTAGAGGAATACTTCAGCTAGCTAGCTAAACAGAAGCAAGATTTGGCATTTAGCCTGGGATTAGTGTGAACAGCCTCTTAACCAAACATTAGAAAGAAAGTTAACTTTTAAATGCTTCGAAAGGTCTGTTTTCATGACAGATGGTAATAAGGGCTCATCAGTGCCAATTTTTTTTGTTTCCACCTCAGTTTTCAAGAACTTAAGTTTTAGGTTAGTGCTTCTGAGCAACCACCACATACATAGATGAAAAATGCAAATGACAAAACTAGATTACTCATTATTGTGTGCAAGGTATTTTTCTATAAACACTAACATATGAAGAGTAAGAATTTGATGGTGTGCTAAACAGACCACTTCCCTTTTCTGCTTATTAGAATCCATCTTTTTTTCTTGCCAGCTGTTTCCTCTTTATTTGTTACCTGTACAAATGGACAGTTAGTCCTCTCCCCACAGACCCCCAAAAGATATAGCAATCAGCAGCAGGTAGAGGTTTTGTTTGTATAATACACTCACTAGGGAAGGCATGGTAGAACTATATTTTATTCAAGAAAACCCACACATTCTGTCCTGTGGTGACCACAGACTTTGCTAAGCCATAGATATCAGCAAATACTGGAACAAAATACAGTGTATCAGATTGAATCAAAGCATTTAAATTCTGAATTACAGTTATAATTTTCAGGGAAGGCTAGTTTCAGAATTGCGTCATAGTATCTAGTACAATGTTGTGCAATGTAAGTGGCAGAAACAGAAATGGAATATTGGTCCTAATAAAACCCAAAATGTAATTACTTTTGTATGACATTTAAACTGTGGAGACAACAATTCATAACATTTTATCAAAGGCAGCATATAGTTACAAAAATACTGGTCCAGCATCTTGTTAGTGGTGAAGCAATATCCAAGGTGCAATGGCAACGTGCCATTCTTAGTGAAATATTTTTTAAAAAACTATTTTTTCTATTTTCCCCACACTGATACTAGCTGAACACCAAAACTGCTATGACAACCTGAAAGTCACTACTTATAATGTGTGTTGCACCAAAGATTTATGCAAAAAACACATTTTCCAGGTTGTAGTATAAAAGAAGCAAAATCTAATAAAACTATGAATATGCCAAAAGACATTTTACTGCAGCTGATCTTAGATGAGCAGGTTGCAACATCTATTGAGCTTTAAACAACTGTCCAAGATTGCCATTCTATTTATTATCTTAAAATGAAGGATACAAAGGTAAAATACAAGGTCCTTAATATTGAGAGCAGAAGTAAATCACCCAGAAAATAAAAATATTCCACCCTCCTCTCCTCCCAAGACCCAGGTAATTTCAAAGCCAAGCCTTGAAATTATCCTTGCTCTGATATTGCACTGTGCTAGGATTGTATTGTTTCCACCTAGAAGTTAAAACATACAGCATGAGGGTGACAAAAACGGCTGGAGACAGTAGACCTGCTTAACTTGTGGAGGTATCTCAAGAAATGTGCATCAGACAGAGACACAATCTAAATGGCAAAGTGTACTGCAGACTTGGCTGGGGTCTGGACTTGGGCCAAAAATACATTAGCCTGCCTGCCATTTCCTTCAAAAGAACAGCATCAATTAACATCTTAACCAAAAGATGAAGTTGAGTAAGATCGGGTAACCATGCCACACTCAGTGTTACATCCAACAACACAGAAATGAAGGAGTAGCAGATAGGAATATTAATAATGTTTTCCTTTCAATAATGGTTTAGTCAAAAGTGTAGCTTTGGAAATCCCTAGCTGGTTGTGAAAACCTGAAGAAGCCAGGAAGCAACCTTACTTTGAACTGTACAGTTTAAAGCTGTGCCTTGGCCTATCTGCTTTCAAAGTAGCACTGCCAACCTTGGAACTAAAAGGTACTGCCGGAAACAAAAAGAAGTCAGCCTTTAAAAGTTGGTGAATGTTGTACTGTAGCAGCCTAACTCTGACTGTAGAAGAAAGGTGAGATACTTTTATAAAGTAAACAACAGATGAAGTAAACTGAAATCTTCAGAGATCACTTGAAGTGTACGCAACTTGGATTCTCACCAACATTTAAAACTACCAATCATAAGGTTGCCACCTTACCTTTTTCTGGACTTGTACACCTGATTTTAAACAGGTTTTCCTCCAGTCTCCCAAGTTTCTGATTCTCTTATCCAGAATTCTCCTGTACTGCTCTCCCACCTTCCTGCTGAATACCGAGTCAGTCCTGCCTTCTGCTTTTCTTGGCAGGAGGCAGAGCAAGCTTTTAATTTCGGTAGTCAGAGTGACAGAACAACAAAAGCATAGCAGATAGAAGAGCTTAATTCTTCCCCAGGAAGAAAATACATTTGGTTCAACAAAGGGCTGCAAAATCTTCCAAAGGCACCTCTTTCCCCAGTTTTTGCCTGAAAGCAAGATGGCAATCTTAATTGAAAAGGGATGCTAAATCTTTTAAATAACTTAAAAATTCATTTTCATATAAAGCAGCAAAAAACATTTTTCTCTGCAGAAAGAGAAATGTTAACAAAGAAACACACCAACATAAATGCACTGTTCATAAACTTCAGCTAATTTAATTTCGCAAGAAAGTAAAATTTTGGGACTATTATTTAACCTCATCAGTACTTTCTGAAGAAGATTCTTTGGCATCTTCAGTCTCTCTGTTACTTTTCTCTTTATTTAAATTTTCACTTTCTGATTTGGTCCCATTAAACAGAGAGTTTTCACCATTTACAAACCCATTCTCTGTGACTTCAGCATCAATAGCTTCATCAATCTTTAAGTCCCTTTGCTCTTCCACATCTTCTAGGTTTCTCAAGACAATAGGGAGTCTAGAGTCTGCCACAGTGTTCTCCAACAAGGCAATATTGCTCTCTTCATACTTCGGAAGCGGAACTACATCTGCCATTTGTTTGCTGTAATACTCTCGGCTTGCAGCTGCACCTTTTACTGCTTTCTCCAAGATCTCTTTCTCACCCAAGCGCAATTTGATGGCCATTACTGCATGTGAAGTAAGGTCATGGGTCTCCAAGAAGGACTTATCATCCTGGTAGAAAAGAAAAAGCAAGTTTGTTAGTCATAACCACCACAATAAATAAATCCCTCAACTCTTCCCTCTATGTGTTAACAATACAGAACACTAGGTTCTTCAGGCTGTGCCAAATGGACATATATGAATGAGGGGGTCTGCATGGAGTCCTGGGGAAACGTGTCAAGAATTCAGCAAGGGGCCAAAATTACTCCAGATAGATAAGCCTGCATAACAAGCAAAGTCAGGAGACTTCACAAGTACATGAAACATGTAGGTTGACTTATACGCTCAATATAGCAGCACATTTCTTTGCAGTCTGGGGAATGCAAGTAATAGACAACAAGTTGAAACTGATTCCTTATTTTACTTGCAGAGAAAAAGCAGGTAGCCCCTATTTGGAGAATCAAAGAAAAAATACATTAAAAAATTACATTAACAAAATATTCTTTTTGCAGTCTTACTAGATTTCCCTTAGATAATGCAAATAGAAAGTACAGAATGAATTAGACATTAACATTCAGATTGAGGTTTGTAAAGACAAGATGGGGGACAAAATACCTTTTTCTACAATCATAACATAAAACATTTCAGACATTTAATTTACATATAATGACAATTTTACCTCCACAGTTGTTTTATAGGTTTTCAAAAGAAGGGATGCTCTGGCTTCTAGGAATGTCCAAAGTTTAACTTCGTTGTCCCAGCTAATGGGAAACTCAGAGTTCCCCAGAGTGAAGATTTTGTCAATGGCATGCTCGCCTATCAAGTGCTCCTTCAACTCTTCTGCAATAAGCATAAAACCAATCTGTTAATAATCTCATCATTCACTTTGTCAGTTGACAAACTGCAAAAAGACTTATTTTCAATAGTAAAGGTTTGAGCAGCTAAAAAAACCAACTCTCCTCAAATCAGAATTAGCAGACATGCTGGTCATTTCTAGAATTCTCCTCAAGGAAGCCTTGAAGTTAGAAGAAAACAGACCTTCTGCTCCACTCCAAAGTAAAGATACTTGATATAACACAGCCTCTCAAACAGTGCATAGCCCTGTGACAGTGAGATGTCATGTTGTGTATTATACAAAAGGAAGTAAATCTTTAGAGTTCAGTGAATTTTTGATAATAAAAGTAACAGGCCACTGAGTGTGCAAATAGTGATGGAATTACTTTTCTTATTGCTTTGGTAATCTTCATCAGTTGCAGAAACTCCCTACAGTTGGTCAGAAAAGAGATCCATCAAACAAACCTCACAAAGAGTAGAAAATGTTTAATCAGTTCCTTAACATTTCACAAATTTCATTCTTCTTTTAATTACCAAATTCCACTCCTGGAAAGCAGCTATCACAAACTTTATAAACCACTTGCATGTAGTTATTTAGTAAACAGTTTTCTTATACATAATTTAAGACATATGAATAATCTGAGCATAATCATGTATCAGAATAATGCAAAAAAAAAAAAAAATGTTCACTAGCTGTATTTTCTTCCCTGAGCCAAAATTCAGCCCCTCACTGCCATCCTAAAATTTTCTTTACTTGAGTTTACTTTGCTGAAGTGGTCAGGCATTTGGACTAGTTGACCACTGTAGGTCCCTTCCAACTGAACTATTATATCCTGGTTTATTCTAATTTCTTAGTAAGTCCTAAAAGACAGGTGACAGGATTCAGTGAAGGCATAACAATAAATAAGGTAGGGTTTTTATTAATGAAAGCAAATAGGGCACATGCAAAAATGTAACAACTTCAGTTTTAATACTGTGGTATTAAAATCCGTATCATCCACCCAGCATCCCTAACTGCAAGGGAATTCTCTGTCATGAAAAGCTGTCACATCTATTACCTCCAAACCTACATCTAACCAATAGGCAGCTATTACAAATACTTAATCATGTCACGTGCACAAATAGGTGAACAGTTATTGATTGTATATATATTTTTTCCCATAAAATGTCCCAACATAAGAGAAATAATATAAAGACAGTTTGCAAATATAAAAGTTTTTAGATTATTAATTAACAAAATATTGAAAATACTCAACTTTGAAATCTCCCTTCCATATTTCTCCTATAGTACAGAATATTTCAACTCCATATTGAAATTATTCTAGCAGTGATGGCTAATATGCATTATTTTAAGCATGCAAACTCCTAGGTCTCATATAATCTTGTTCTGTGAACTGTTTTTAAACCTAACAAAAAAACCATCAAGCTCCAAACCTCACTCATTCAGACCAGCCTGGGAGAATTAAAAAAAATATGAAAAATTGAATCACCTTATACTTAAGGAGTTCCAGAAAGGCCTATGTTACTGAAATATTCCCTCAGACAACACAGCCAAATATTTGGTTTCTCACTAGCTTATAAATCCCTTTTTAGTCTCAACTTTTCCAATCTTCTAGCTTAATGTTTTATATAAATGTCTTAGCACATTCCTGCATTAAAAAAACCCCCAATAAACAAAAAAAACACCCCAAAAAAACCAAACAAACAAAACCAAAAGCAAAACCAAAACAACAACAACAAAAAACCCAAACCAAACATATATTAGCTTATCTTTATAAACTATCTTACCTTCATTCATACAAAACACTCGAAGAAAAGCCAAAAGTTGGGCAGAGATTGGAGGCTCAGTGGAGTGCAAGGCAAAAACACTAGAACTAGCAAAAGACAAAACAGCAAGAGTAAATGCAGGTTGTATTGTCCTACTTCTGTACTTATTTCAGCATCAAAGACCTTAAAGTACACAGCTTAAATGTTGCTAAGTATTAATAGTCACAAAAGTAACTTTTAAAAAATTAGGTAATTGTAGTTCAAACTGAAGAAAAGCTTCCCTAACCTGTACCTGAAAAGAACAATTAACTCTACAATTTTACACTTACAATTATTTTTATATGGCTTTCATAATAAATTCATGAAAATGCAACGTTTCACATCTGCTGCTCCTAACAGTACCCTCTGGACTGAAAAGACTAAAGGAAAATGCTGTGGTTCACATACTGAGCATCGTAGTATGTCTGCAAGGGATAGGAAAGAAAGAAAAAAACCACAGATTGCTTCAAATTAATCCCTGCTCTGTTTTTGTTGAAATGCTTATTAAAGCAAAGGCTTTTTTTCCTTATATATGGTCCAAATTAGATTATAATACAGCTCAGAGAACTTCTGTAAATATTATTACAACAACTTTAATTTACTATACAAAGAGGAGAAATATTATACCTAGGAAAACTATCATAGAACAGCTTTATATATGCTCTACTGGACACTATATACTTTGGAAATGTTTAAAAAAAGCCCATGGCATTGTGTTTTACTTACGTGGGGATACCAGCACGAGCTAAGACCTCTGCCTTCATAGCATACAGCCTGTCACTTTTACTCACGCCAAGCTTTATTTTCACTCTGTCATGTGAATTATTATCAAAGAAAAAACCACTGTGGATCACAAATTCAGCGTTTGACCGAGTGCCATAAAAAATGTAAATCTAGAAGGATGAAAAGAGAAGTGAAGGGACAGGAAAAAAGCTTAAGATCAGCTCACAAAACTGACATAATTTGAAAGTTATTTCCTGAAAGAGTGACTATTTTGGGTACAAGGTATATTTGGTTACATAAAGAAACATGCTTGGTTTTCTCATATGGATTCAAATGCTGCATATAGCAGCAATATACTTTAGTGGTAGATGTAAACATATCCATATAACAGAGACTTTGAAAGGCGAGAAGAGTTTCTTATTCTATGCTTTGAAAGTAAAAAATGCTTTGTTTTCTCACATTGCCATAAAATATCAGGATCTGGAAATTAGTTTTCAAAGATCCTATGCTTTTTAAAGGCTAAAAAATCTGAGACAAGGAGGGCTCATTAAAAGAAACAGAGTTTCTGGGGTAATTTTGCCCCCCATAAGTTTACTCAAAAGTAGAACCTACACTGCTGGTGGATCAACTTCATTTTTGTTTTGATGTTACCTCTAGGCACAGATATACTAAAGTGTATCATACTGATCTGTGTTCAGCCAGTATTTTATTTATGTGATATAATGTAAAACCTTTCCCTAAAGCAACTAGGTTACTTTAATTCACCTTAAAAAATAAACTCCTAATATAACCTGTTAAAAGTGTTTCATTCATGGCTAGGCTGTATGAAGTATATGGGACAAGAGAAGAGAACATCAATTGTCTTCTCCTGCATCAAGAGGATATTTTCCCCTTTTGTTTGCTAACAGAATTGTCAATCAGGAAAAAAGTTTCAACAGTTACAGAACTCTCTTCTTAACCATAGGATACAGCTTACACCTGTAAGCTTTCACTCCTCTCTAGCTGACACAGAAAGGCACAGTGATCTCTTAAGGACTCAGTAACACTAATGCCATTTATTTATTTTGTTTTCATTTTTAGATTACAACTAAATGCTTAGGTATTACATTAAATTATACTAAAAAATATACTGTAACACACTTGTATAATGAACAAGTGACCTGCCTAGGTATGCTAAGGCAACCATTAGGGAGAAAGTTGCTAACCCTTTCAAGTTTTAAAACTACTTTAATACATCTCGTATTAAACTAAAAGCCACATATCATGTGTAGATTATATAGTATGCTCTTACTCTCTAAGGCTTTTTTTGGAAAAAAAATACCATTAAACAGAGTGAGGAATTTGTTTTATTCAAGGCCAGTGCCTGATACATTCTGTGGACTTCTGCTGCCTCACATTTTTTAGTAGTAAAACCAAGGATCATACATTCTTCCTG